AAAGGTATGCATGTTTGGATTGTATTAGTAAACGCATTTTATTCACTATAGTTTTAGCTTTAATATGCATGTTCAAATGTTCAATATTAATGATGGTAATCCTGTATATAGAGTAATTGATGAAAGTATAAAAACGCGTTTCGAGTGCTAATAATTTTGTTACATCATCTTTGATAATAAATTACAAGAAATCTACTAGATACTTATACTCATTCTATAACCTATAGTTTTAGCTTTAATATGAATTATCAATATTAATAGTGCCATCTCTGGTAATCGAGAAAAAGACGAAAATGTAAAGACACTTTTCGAAGAATAAACATTTGTAATCAAATTCAACTTAATAGCGAATTACTAAAAATCAGTGCGAAACACAACCATGAATCTACGCTCATTTAATTCCCTACAGTTTCAGCTTTAAAATACATATTCAATAATTGTTATGAGATTCGCGGTTATCGTGTAAATGTACATTTTAAAAACGTTTGAATTTGGTATAAGTTTTCCCATTATTTCATTCAATCCTCTTCGAGGCAATTATGTAGATAAAAATGGAATTCTAACGTTCCCTTATCATCATCATACGATATTCAAGTCTATAATACTTAAGATTTCCATATCAAAAGGGAATAAATTTAAAAAAAAATGGTACATAAAGATTTATTATTATCGTTTCTAATTGCAATAATATAATTACATATTAGTGCAGATTATAGGAAACCACCTAGCAACAAAAACTGAAAATGGAACAATGCAGATGTTATTCGTATTACTTTCATTTATTTGCACAAGAATTATTACATTATCTTATTGTTATGCACAATGTCGTAATTGTTTTCATTAATTGTTGTTGATATTTAAGATTAATTCCAGGGATAAATTAACGCAAATATTACGTTCGTAATCTATACATTCTCTGTATCGTTAAGGTAGGTAGAATGAAGATAACGATTCTGTCCATTCGTTATCATCATCATTTTATTTTCGTTGCACAATCACGATTTAATAATATTAATAAAATTATTTTTTGTTTTGTTTGTTATTCGATCCGTTATCAGCAATTAACTAATGTATGCAATATATATTTTTTTTTTTATTTAGAACAACGAAAATATAAATTTGATGATTAATAAAATGTGACGAGTTTACGGTGCGAAAATAAACGCGATAAAACTTTTGTTTTAATCATTTGTTTGTGCGAAACAATTGAATCATAATTCAGATGTTTATTATACTTTTTGATGTTTGTTTCTTAGGTAACATTTAGTAAAACGCAAATTCATATTTGATTGTGAATCAAATTCCCAAATTCTTTACACTAAAATGTGAATTTGTGTCAGTTTTTTTTTTATTTAAGTACGATTGGAACTAAAGATTTCTACTATTTATTAAGTGCATTTTTCAGTTGTTTCAACTGATTTTCAGCGATTGCAATTGTTTTTTTTGCTATTAATATATTAATTATTTTATAAATTTGCTAAAATTAGTTTACTTTGATCATTTGTTTTATCATTGTTTTTTTGAAACAATTGAAGCATAATTCAGATGTTTATTTGGCTTTTCGATGTTTGTTTCTTAGGTAACATTTAGTAAACCGCAAATTCATATTTGAGTGTGAATCAAATTCCCAAATTCTTTACACTAAATTGTGAATTTGCTTAAGTTTGCTTTTTATTTGAATACGATTGGAACCAAAGATATCTACTATTTATTAAATGCAGTTTTAAATTGTTTCAATTAATTTTCAGAGATTGCTACTGTTTTTTTTTAATATATTAATTATATTATAAATTTGCAAAATTAGATCACTTTGATCATTTGTTTTCGTTTGATTTAATCATTTGTTTTTTTTTAACAATTGAAGCATAATTCAGATGTTTATTAGACTTTTTGATGTTTGTTTCTTAGGTAACATTTAGTAAAACGCAAATTCATATTTGAATGTTAATCAAATTCTCAAATTGTTTACACTAAAATGTGAATTTGTGTCAGTTTTTTTTTATTTAAGTACGATTGGAACTAAAGATTTCTACTATTTATTAAGTGCATTTTTCAGTTGTTTCAACTGATTTTCAGCGATTGCAATTGTTTTTTTTTGCTATTAATATATTAATTATTTTATAAATTTGCTAAAATTAGTTTACTTTGATCATTTGTTTTTATCATTGTTTTTTGAAACAATTGGAGCATAATTCAGATGTTTATTACACTTTTTGATGTTCGTTGCTTAGGTAACATTTAGTAAAACGTAAATTCATGTTTGTATGTTAATCAAATTCCCAAAATTATTCACACTAAAATGTGAATTTGTACAAGTTTTTTTTTTATTTGAGTACAATTGGAACTAAAGATTTCTACTATTTATTAAGTGCATATTTCAGTTGTTTCAATTGATTTTCAGTAAGTGCAATTGTTTTTTTTTGCTATTAATATATTAATTGTTTATAAATTTACAAAATTAGTTTACTTTGATCATTTGTTTTTATCATTGTTTTTTTTTTAAACAATTGAAACATAATTCAGATGTTTAGTTTGTTTTAACAATTGGAGCATAATTCAGATGTTTATTAGACTTTTTGATGTTCGTTTCTTAGATAACATTTAGTAAAACGCAAATTTATATTTGAATGTTACACCAAAATGTGAAATTTTGTAAGTTTTTTTGATTTGAGTACGATTGGAACTAAAGATTTCTACTATTTATTAAGTGCAGTTTTCAATTCTTTTAAATAATTTTCAGATATTGCTTTTTTACCTTAACATATTAATTATAATATAAATTTGCAAAATTAGTTATTTTTGATCATTTGTTTTTTGTTTCAATTTAGTTTCAGCGATTGCAATTGTTTTTTTCTCTTAATATATTAATTATATTATAAATTTGCAAAATTAGATCACTTTGATCATTTGTTTTCGTTTGTTTTAATCATTTGCTTTTTTTTGAAACAATTGGAGCATAATTCAGATGTTTATTAGACTTTTATCATGTTTGTTTCTTAGGTAAACCACAAATTGATATTTGAGTGTGAATCAAATTCCTAAATTGTGAATTTGTGTAAGATTTCTTTTGATTTGACTACGATTGGAACTAAAGACTTCCACTTTTTATTAACTGCAGTTTTCAGTTGTTTCAATTATTTTTTTCTTAATATATTAATTTTATTATAAATTTGAAAAATTAGTTTGCTTTGAGAGTTGTTATTATTATGATCTTTTGTTTTGTTTAATTTGAAATTGGAAACGATTTTCATCACGAGGATGAAAGTTCTCTTTTCTCCTCTCTCTCTCTTTCACTGCTTCTTCATGTCGTGCGAGATAACATTGTTGTCGATTTATTGAAACACAAATGTGTGTCAAAGTTTATCTGATGATGCCTTAAAGTTTTCTCCTCCTCGAGACGATCGCCAGTTCGAATTCGATTGGTTAACAGAAATACACCTCTTTCGGATGTGATCGATTTCCGTCGAGGATGCATGCACACGATGATGGCCTTCGGAACGATTTGATTTATCGACGTGTTTTTCTCTTCTCGGGGGGAAAGATTGTAGGAATTTTTTTCGGAATCTTCCCTTTCTTTAATTAACTTAGAGATTATCGATTCACTTAATCCCATCTCTAACTTTAACATTTCTCACAAGTCTAATCCTATAAATAATTAGTTACCATAGTTACAGTAAATTCAGTCCATTGTAAATATAGCAAAGCATACTTTGATTTGTTTATTTATCTTAATTCACTTTTTTTTAAGGTAAATCTGAAAATCTTAAGTGTGGAGAGGAGGAAGGAATTTGTTGTCTAAATAATGTTCGAAATAGTAGAAATAGAATATTATTTTTATTAAATCCTACAATTAAGTAATTATTAATAAATTACTTATTACCGTCGCAATGAACGAATCTTGTTTTCTTCATTGAAAATAATTAATCAGTTATTCATATACATATAAAATCAAATAAAAATATTATATATATATGCATGTATGTATAAATATAATATAAATCACAATTAGAGATACATCGAAATCATTAAACATTTAAAATAAAAACATAATAATTACACAAACAAAGGAAAACACTTATATAAAACCGTTCTAATAATTTAGTAAGTAAGTAAGTAAGTCTATAGTGAACGTTGTGTTGCTGGCTGTGTAATAATTAAAATATAATAAAATAATAATTTGAGCAACAAAAAAAAAGATTATAAAATTTAAAATTTGTCTCAGACGCAATATTCAAAAAGTGTAATTATCTTCTCCTATTGGTCCCTCAACAAAACAAAAGAATAATCTAAAACAAGAGATAACAATTTTCAACAAAATCAATTGATTTTGTTACGTAAACACACACACACACAGATTACACAGTCGAACACACGTTTGATTTTTCTATTCTGAACATGGAAATTGGAGAAAATAATGTTTGTACTTTTTTTTTTGTTAAATATAATATTATGTAAATCATAAGAAAGGTTAATTAATAATAACAATTGTTTTTTTTTATGTTTGATGAATCGATATTATTACAATTAAATACTGGATCGAGATTACTTACATAAATGTTAAATATATCTCTGAGTGGGGGGGGCGTCCCTCACGCCTGTACAAGGGACACGTTAAATTATTATTATTATAATGATACGATTAAATAATTAAGGGTGGCGTGAGGAAAAACAAAAAAGAAAAACAAATTTTACAATTTAAGAGAAAAAAAACACTGTTATAAGAAAATGCCCATTATATACACATTAATCAATGGCTCCTAGAAAGTACCGTAAAAGCGAAAAATACAATAATCAATTATTTACACGATCTAACAAAAGAAATCTCCTGATTACACGTATTTTTGTTTGCTTGTTTTTTTTGTTGTTGTTATTATTATTAATATGTTTTGATTACAATTGAAATATAAACATGATGTATACGTTTCGTATGTATGTACAAGTACAAGAAGGTCGCTATAATCGAAATAGAATAAAAACAATTGGGTTGTTGATGAACAATTGAATTTGATGGAGAGAAACCTACGATCTAAATATAATATATAATCTAAATCGAAATTATCTGATAATATACAAAACAGTTACTTACTTTGTCACTTACTTATAAATATTATGTATAAATAAATATATATATATATCGACCTGTATGGCAGGATTTCGGTAATTAGTGTATACCGAATCAAAATAATAATAGTAAAATGTACAGTACACAGTGATTCCCTCACTAATTCGCTCTCCCCTCTTTCTCTACTTCTTCTACATCTATCATCATCTTTAGGCCTTCTTCTTGTTTGCCTTCTCGGCCTTCCTCTGCTGCTTCTCCTTCTCCTTCCTGTCCTTCTCCTGCTGCTTGCGCTCCTTCTCCGCCTGCGCTTTCAACTCCTTTATTTTACGCTTGAGGCGACTCTTGTCCTCGCTGCCGATGCCGAGGATCTTGAAGTCTGCGGAGGTCAGTTGCAGCAGCGCGGATCCGTTGACCTGAAGCTCGAGGAACTTGGATATGTGTTGCTCGAGTCCGAGCCACAGAAGCCACTGGCAGACCTGCTCCTTGCTCCAGTCGACGACCGGCGCCGACTGCCAAAAGTGCGAGCCCTTCTTGTCGCTGCTCGCTATACTGCAGGAGGACAGGCTGATGTCGGATGGATGCATGCTGCTCCAGGTGTCGTGTCTTGAGGGCGACACCGATCCGGAGGAGAGGCTAGAGGGCGACGGAGGCGTCGGCGATGCTCCCGATTGGTGTTGCCATGGCACTGATCCGGGCGGGGACAACGTCACCGGCACCACCTTCTTCACTGCAAAAACAAACAAAAATAGAAACACATGAACTTTCCTCATTTTATGAATGAAACTATATAATAATATTCTTTGTTCAATAAGAAAAAGAATGTTGAAAATGTATAGGCAAGTTGTAAGCAGAGATCATCGACCTAAAGTCCCCGCCCGAAACACCTGTCTGTGTTCTAAGGTCGATGATCCTAAACTACCTGTTGCGGTTGAATAGTCAGGATAATGCTTCAATGAATATCTTATAATGGAAGATTGCAAATTTAAAATCAATTACAATTGATAATAAATGCAACAGATAATATTTTTAAGTGTCTAACCTCTAGCGTTGGCCTCACTCACAGCCTGCCGGATTTCCTCCAGAAGGTGTTGAGCCGTACTTTTGCTCTTCTCGTTGAGCTCGTCGGTGGAATTGCTGAGACTCTCGGTTCCCATCCTCTTTTCCCTCTCCGCCAAAACCTTAACAGTAATAAATAGTATTAGCAATACTTTCCAAGTACTCGCACAATATAGTGCAATATTTACCTGTTTGAGTTGTTCTGCCAAAGATGGAGGCGGTCCCATTCCGCTCTTATTGTTGGTGGCAGCTCCGACCCACGGGTCAGGACTGACGAGCTGCTGAGCGATGGAATGCTGCGAGGGTTCCTTCTGCACCTTCGCATAGACAACGCTCTGTTCGCGACTGCCTACGACCTTTTGCGATGAACTATAGGTGTTCTGGATTTGAGTGTACTGCACGTTTTGGCTGCTGTTGTAGTGTTGTGCTGTACTGTAGACGTTCGTCTCCAATGTAGTCGGACGTACGGGTTCGCACCCTTTGTTGTTCGTTTCATTGATGTAGGGCGGATCCAGTTCGTCCGCGGAATTGTAGCTCTCGTCCAATCCGTAATCGGAGGAGCTGTTGCTCAGCGACCCTTTCTTGCTGCTCGGCAACTGTCGGTTCGCCAGAGCTCCACGATTAGCCAGCTCGGCTTTGCTCTTGCTCGCAGAGATATCTAGAAGCTCGTGCGGTGGGACGGCGTTATCGAACTCCTCCTTGATGGGAAGCTTCCTCTCGACCGTACCTTTCTTATTTATGTCGTCGGGACTGGCATCAGAGATCTCTGTGTCGGAGAAGTCCGTGGTTATGCAGTGTCCCAGCTTTGTGGGCGGCTGTCTCCTCGACATCTGCGGCGTCAGCGACTTCAAATTCATGCTGTCGTACGGCAAGCACATCGGCATACCGGCCTGCTGCTGCGTCTCGATCAGATTCTGCTCCAACGCGATAATCCTGTCCTTCAAATTCTTAACCAGAGCATTGTACTCGGTGTCCTTCTCCTGCAGCAGCTGCTGATAGAAATCCTCCCTCTGCGCCATCTCGACCTCGCGCTGCTGGAAATCCCTGCAGAGCATCTTCGCCCTGCTGTACTTCTTCTCCAACACGGCGTACTGATTCTGCGACTGCTCCAACATATTCTGATATGTGGCCATCTCCTTCTTCACGGAACTCAACTGTCTCTCCGCATCCTTGCACCTCACCTCCGTCTGCTCGACCTTATCATTTTCGGCGAACTTCAACCCATTCTGCTCCATTAACTAAAAACACAATTAACATCCATCAATTTTAAAATGTACGATATTACATCACAAATTATTAAAAGTAATAATAGCGAAACAATGACATTCCGTTTAAAGCTTGCAGCGAAAATTGTATAAATATGTGAAAAATAACTTTTAGACCTTACCTTGGACTTCAAACGCGCTACATCTATTTCGGTTAAGAGGAGTTTGCGCTGGCTCTGCGTAACAAAACAAAAACGTAAAACAACCCCAAACAAAACAAACAATAACCAACCAACAACAATTACAAAAAAAAACAACAACACCCATGTCAAAAAAATAACAAATGAAACAAAAATAACACATTAGGCTTTTAAAGTTGTGCTCTAAATGTTTCTTCTTTGTTTGTCGTTAGCATATAATGTAGACATGTGAATGTATGATAATACGCACCTCCTGTAGTAAAAACCGCAAAGATTCCACGTCGTTCTCCCCTTCGTGCTCAAATACATTCTCGCTATTAGCCGAAGGACTAACCGGACCATCCGAAACACTACTATTGGCTGAACCTGAACCCCAATCAAAGACAAATACATTACATAACTGTTGAAAAAGTCTATTCATATTTAATGTTATTTACCTGTTAATGGTAAGGTGCTTGCGTCGCTGGGTTGCTCCGCTTCCAGTGCTCTCTGCCTTCGCTCCTCGCGCTCTTTATCTGCCTGCAAGGACTGCCTTATCAGCTGGGCAACTTCGCTGTTCTGCGGATCTCTTTCCCTTCCGATACTAAACTTAACAATGCCGGAGGTGTTCCTCAGAACGCTGGCAGCGTAAGCTTGTGTAACGCCAACTAAACTCTTTCCGTCCACCTCGATGATCTGATCGTTGACCTGGATATGTCCATCGCGGGACGCCGCTCCGTTCGACGTTATCGTTTTCACAAAGATACCTACGAAAATACAAAATTATATATAATTGTTCAATTTTAATGTAATAATATTAAATACCTAATTTTTCAAGGCCGGCATCGGCGCCGACACCCATCCCTATAATACTGAGACCCAAGCCCTCGGGCCCTTTGAGCAATTCGACGGGGAATACGTCCATCTTCTCGACGCGCTTCTCCAATTCATACTCAGCGCTCGCCGCCACCGGATCGACGTCCTCGTTCCGTCTATCATAATCGTTTATGCTGAAGGTGGAGAACACCTGTATCGGACCGCACGAGAAACGGATCTTTGACGATTTCGGTATGTACATGGGGTAGTCGAGATCGTCGTCGTCGTCCTCCGGCAGACCGGGCACCTCCATCCAGAAGTGTCCATCCTCGTAGTAATGAACGCCGTGCTCGATGCCGACAACTTGCAGCGGCTTCGGCACAAAATCGGTGATGCTGTCCAAGTTGTTCGTCTCCGACAGACTCGTCACGGAATCTTAAAAAAATGAGATGAAAATCAATCGAGCGTGCCGGAGATGTGAGTACAAAGAGAGATTAAAAGATGATACATACCGATTAGGCCCGAGTCTGATGCCATGCTCGTGTCCAGTTTGCTCATGGAGGAACCGTCAATATCCTGAGTGGAGACGTCGATGCTGCTCGTCGAATCGTTCATCTGATGATTCTTATCGGCCTTCCTGACTTTGACCACCTGCGCGTACTCGACGGGCTCAGGAACGGCCTCATCCTGAATGGACGGCGGCCCGTAACTATCGTTCAACGACGGCAATCCCATCGAGTCGTGCAGCGAGGAATCCTGCAGCATCGAACTGAACGGATCCGGCCACTTGGTCATCATCATTACCGTTTGCTGCTGCTGCTGCATCTTAACCTCCTCCTCCTCATCGGGATTCAGCAACCTTTGAATCTCCTGCGCCTCCTCGTCCGATAAAATCTCTTGTCTGATCCTCTTCTCGATAATCCTGAATACGCAGAGAGGTCGGTTAATAAAACTAGGATTACTCACGCGAAAGTGTTACTTACTTGGAGCTTAGCAGATTCTCCGCTTCCGCCGGGGTCATAGCCTCCGGCACCGTCTCCTTCATCACTTGCGGATCAAAAACGCCGGCATCATCGACGTCGTCATCGTCCACCTCCTCGTCGTCACTGGCATCCGCGTATTCCACGTCGTTCAAATCAAGTATATTCGCCTCGGAACGCGAATCCCGATCGGAACCTATCGATTTCGTCGGACTCTAAAAAAAAACAACAATACAATCACAATAAATTAATTAATATCCCAAAAAGTAATTCGTTAGAGTTACATTTATAGAAAGTATCATAGTAAGTATGACTGTAATGTATGCAGAAGCTGAAGTAAAATTAGAGATACATTCAATTAAGTGTGATTCACGCAATATGGAGAAATGAGGGTATGTCCGTTAATAAAGTCCAAATAAAGGAGGGAATATTATATAAAATAAGTAAGTGCTCACGTTGAGTTCTTTGGGGGAGAAGCATGGCACTACGTCTGGTCGACTCTTGGTTTCTGCGGATCTTTCGTGCTGAATGAATTCGTGGCAAGCGCGTTCGTAGCTCTCGCGACCTTCGAGCTCGGAGAGTGCGGACGGGATGAGCGGCGGACTGTTGTACATGATATCAGAATCGATGCTCTTCTGCTGGACGACGGTGGCTTGAGAATCGGAATCCGTGGAGGCGTTGGACTTTTGCTGCAGAAGACAGCTGGGCTTATTGGGCACGGCGTAGATGGCCTCGACAGTGCTGCGCGGTTGCGCCGGAGATCCTAGGCTGTCGGAGCCGGCGGGTGATTCCTCTTTGGGGTCGACGACGGCGTAACCGTCTTCGTCCTGCGGTAGGAAGAGGTCGGCTTTTAGGTCGCCCGCCGTGGGGTAGTCGTAGATGTCATCGTGCGGCTTGAGGCGGGCCTTTATCTCGGGGCAGGGCTCGTTGAAGCCGCCCTCGTCAGTCGTCGAACTAACGACGGAGGGCGGCCTCGAACCAAGACCCGCCGCTGGAATGTTCAGGGAAACGGTGGAAACCTTGCTCCGTCTCGGCACCGGCACGATTTCCTCTTCAGTCTTATTCGTTTTCGCTTCGGGATGATCTAACAATAACAACAACAACAAATTGCAAATAAATTATACAAGAACTCATGAGAAGCAACGACCACGAAACAATTTTCTTTCCAACTGAAAATAAAACCAACATACAATTGTTTTCAATTAACTTCTAGATTTACTTTTAAATCAATATACTGAAACAATAGCTCCAAAAGCAATCCAATCATCGTACACTAAATGATAAGAAGTATAAAAAACGTTACACAAATTAGTTCAATCTCACCCATTCAACAAATACAATTTAAACACTTAATATGATTTATATACTTTTTTCTTTATAATCACAGGACTTTCATTAATTGCTGTTTTAAGTCAGTAATTAATCATTAATTGTATCCACTATTTCCAGTTTGCAATTAATAACCGTGTAAAATATAATTAATTGCAATTATAAATAAGTATAAGTCGTAAAAAGCTCAATTTCCGCAATTTAATTAAATATATTAATCACTTAATCTCGTTTACATAAACTATCATTGAAGTAAGTTTGTTTATTTAGTGTTTCATTAAATTGCTGATAGGTTAGTTGCATAACTCTTAAGTAAGTAACAAAACTTTTTTTAAAACTAATTTTACCGAATAGTTTAAATACTAATTCATATGTTTCTATCTTATCAAACCACAAAATTAAATCAAAAATAATAATTATAAAAAAAAATGAAAAATAGAATAGAAGAACAAACATATGAATTTTCAACTAAATTGTAAACTGAAGACTTATCATAAATGTTGTAATTTCTATGTTAGTAAGAAGGCAATAGTAATATATAGAATAGATAAGTATAGATTAAAGACTTAAATTGATAAAGTTCATATAGAAAATACGTGTAGTAGTAATAAATAAATGCACTTTCTTGGGTAGTTGTTATATGCAAAGTGTTCTGTGTATGATGAGTATGTTAGAAACGGATGATTAGTAATAGTAAATTCGAAAATTGCTAACCAATAATAGAAACAAGATTTCGGCAATGGAAGAGAAGTGAAGAGAAGAATGAAAGCGGCTGTAATAATCACGACGGATTTAGAATGAAAACAGGAAGCGCTTTAAAAATAATTCGCAACACGAACCTGAGCAGTCGATGCAGAGCAATCGCAGACGCAAACACATCTTCTTCTTCATGTGCCTCACCATCAGATGAAAACCCTCCTTCGGATCAAATGCGAGGTGAAGACGACCATTTCCGAAAGATTCGCGACGATGCGGGTCTTAATCTCGCGCGAGTGTTCCTACAACCCTTATGGTCGGTGCAAAAGGGCTGTTGCTGCTAGTTAAAAAAGCACACGCAAATTCCCGAAGACAGAGAAAGTACACGATTTCGTGCTAAACGAGCAGCCTCTCCCAAACACACTGATCTATAAATAAATTCCACACTACAGACCTACACACACTCATTTACTTTACTTACATACTTATGCAGAGTGCATTACGGCTGTGATTCGAGCGTCGCACAGATTTTCCCGAATATTTTTCTCGCGCGACGAGAGCTCCGCCCAGAAAATACTGCCCGAAACGATTTTAACTAAAGCAGAAACAGAATCAATCCAATCCCAAGTTTTCGTCTCCTGTGTCGTCGCGACGACAGTAGGACGTAGACTTTGACTAATAAATCTGCAGAGAGTGCCAAATTGGACTCGATTGAGGCGACACGGATTAATAAATGAATCAAGGCTTCGAAACGCAGCAGCAGCAGCAGCACACAACAACTAGAGATCACAATGCGGACGTGTTTGATTGATGTTGTTCGGTTTGTGGCCGAGCATTGTATTTTTATATTCCCTCCGCCGACTTCAATGATATAATATAATCGTCGTCGCTCTTGTTATTTCGTTTCGCGTGCCAAAACGCACTCGCTCGATCCCCTTTCGATTCGCACTCTGATCACATTCGACGAGCGATCGCGGCGCGAAATTGCCGATGGCATCCAGATCGAAGGAAAACAATTACGAGGAGGAGGACGAACGCAAATAGACGTGAATCAGGTCATTGGACCTTCGACTCTTTCAGCAAAATTGCACTTCCGAATGCTTTGACCAGAAGACGACTAATGAAGCGTTCCCAATTAAGCATTTCAGCCTTCGTTGCAGCAAACAGTCAGAAATAGATTTTCAGCAAAACCAAGAACTCCGTCCTACTATTCAAAAACATTACAATCACAAACTACATTTCAAAATTACTTAAGTCTCATCAATTATTAAGAAACAGAACTTTATCATTAATTTGATTAAAAATATTGAAAACCTATTTGCAGCAGAAAATCTTGAAATACAAACATTCTCAACTCCATCTGTACGGATTTAGATTTCACTGCATATTCAAAATTCTTCTCAACAGATCAAACAAAATTCCACATATTATGTATTGTAATAAAATTAGAAAAGTAATTGAAAAGCATTAATAAATTGAAACTGAATGTTCATTAACTAAATTTACATTAATTAGCGCTTCAAAATTTCAAAAACTAAAAAAGCTATGCCTATTAATAGCAATGGCTTAATTAGAGTAAACGCATTAGCAATCAACGAATAGTCGGAACAAACGAACAGCGAAATAAAAAGGAAGGTAAATCGATTCACACTTTTAATTGCATTGCGCATTAATTAAAGCACTCCATCCAAATTGCTGTAATTCAGCGTGGAGATGCTTTTTTTGTTTAATTAAAATTTATTATTACGTAAAGATAATAGTTTTGGAATTATTCTCGAAATTATGTTGAAAATATATATATAAAAAAACAAGTCACGTAATATAAATTTCTATTTCTCGTTTTGCAAAACGTTCATAATTTGTTCTATTTCGCTTGCACGTTACATTATTTTAGTATCAAACTCTACTCGTGTAGATTTTTTTTTTTAAATATAAGAGTTAATGTAGTAAATTCATTACAAGTCTGCATACATTGTTGAAACAGACTTGAACTTTTGAGTAAATAAGATATGTTTGTTTTTCGTAATTATTGAGCATTGTTTAAGACAATGCAAAATTCCGATAGGTAAAATATGCATGTTTCCCATGGATGTAATTTTATGTTTTATGCAATATTTTACATTATAATAGTTTGACACATTTCTGCAATACATGATTGTACAAATCTTGAACTTTAATATAAACAATAATATTCAAGTTAGTTAAAATAACGGAAGATTGTTTTTGTTCTATTTTGGATATAGTTGACTGTGAAATTCTTTGTTTGGACTTGACTTCTATTTATAGGAGATCTTTCTAATTTTAAAAGTAAGTCTGAAGATTGTTTCGTGGTGTTGGAATGAAAGAAATAAGGGATGTCGTCTTACCACCATGGTCTTCCTCCTCAGTCTTTTCGTTTGGCTCGCTCTCCTGCTTCTCGTTCTCGGTCTTCACACGGCTGGGGCTGCTGGGCGGACTCAGGGAGCTCAAGCTGCCCGAGGTGACGCTGAGGCTCTCTTTGCTCGCTTCCTTCTCGTCTGGCAGAGAGGACCGATGGTGCTGCGGAGGTGTAGGATGAACGCCGGATGCCGGTGACTTTGGAGACATCCTGCTGTTGTTGTGGTGATGATGAACGGGGTGGCAGTCTGTCGGAGTCGTCGTCGGAGGTGGCGGTGGCGGCTGTTGCTTGGCCAGTTCGGGCTTGTTCTCCTTGTTGTTGGTGTCTTCGCTGTCGCGCCGATGGTGCAGACCCCGGATGACTTTGGTGTTGACGGTGCGGACGGGCGAAGAGCCGGGGCTGAAGAGGGGCGAGCTCGTCGCTAATACTGGAACGGAGGTGGGACGGTCCTTGCGCACGAAGTTGGCACGTCTGGTGACGTCGGGGGGCGCGGGCGGCGGCGACGTCGGAGGACTTCGAACGCGCGAGCTGAAGGAGGCGCTCCTGCTTGCCGCCACCGCCGCCGCCGACCTACCACCACCACCGCTGCTGCTAATGTTCGAGGTGGAATGATGCTGACGGTGATCGGATTCGGGACTGCTCAACCCGAACTTCCCATCCTGCTGCCTGTTGGGGTCGCTGTTGTAGCGACTGGTGCGCGTCTTCGAGAAGTGCGACGTCCAATTCTTCTGTTTCTCAATAAGCTCTTTACTGTTGAACTTTCGTTCAGGCTTCTCCGGCTTCTTCATCAGCATCGGCTTCGTCCTACTACTACTATTGTTGTTGTTGTTGTTTATGTGGTGTTGACCGTCCTCCGACGTTACCGTCGTGCTGTTACCGTTCACTCTGGTCATCGCGCTCAGCTCGTTCGCACTGCCGAAGCCGTTCGTCTTGCAGTTGGTGTTGTCGGTGAGGACGGTGGAGTTGCTCTTGCGCACGGGCGACGGCGACCTCGATCCTCCGTCGTGACTCTTGGTATCGCGGTTATCGCTGTTCGCCGAGGAACTGCGCGATCGACTGTCCAGCACGTTGGACGCACTCTTCGTCGTCTGCAGCGGCACTATCAGACTCGCGCGATCCTTGCTGCTTGCCCTGGTGTTGTGGTGCTCCTCTCCCAGCTTCTCGAAGAGCGCTCGAGCGTTGTTGAACCTCGTCAGATGAGATTCGGTCCTCACCACCGTCACGTTACTCTCGACCGCAGCCGGTTGCTCCGTCTTGTTGCTGCTCTCCAGCCCCGGGCTGCTCGTCGACCTCGGCTTCGTCCTCAGGGGTGTTATTATGTCTTCGCGTTGGCCCGTCTGGAAGATGTTGGCTATTTGCGACACCTTCGACACAGCCCTACCGGGCGTCTTCTTCTCCTCCATCCCGCACTATTTTTAGAACCTGAAACACAAACACATCAATATCACAACCCCAAAAAAAACAGCACAACAAACATCAGTTAAATATAATTATTAAATCTCCAAGTTAAATTTCTAAATGCATTTACCGAACAACGCAAATGACATGTTTGTCAGTGATAAAAATCCATTAATTTGCAATTACTCTTCTACTTCAAAATCACTTAAATCGGATTATAGAACTTTTATTCGTAACAACAAATTTAGTAATTAGAGAAATTGTTTATATGTAAACGTAATATGACTACAGTTTTAAAAGTTTCTAAAGAATTAAATGGATTATTCTGGCAATTTATTTACAACAATAAGCACGAGTTACTCGATAACGGAATCGTTACTCATGGTCCAACGTCACGCGCAAAAATACATTGAAAAAAATACCAATAATAATTGACTTTAGCCATGGTAAATTATGTATCGCCAAGGATATTTTTAAGTTATTTTTTTTCTGGACGATAACGACAACGAAACTGCAGTGAAAAACGACTTACTTTCGGAGGGGTGAAAATGTGAGAAGAGGAAGAGAATTGTGAGGAAGGCCAAGTGCATAAAAGTTGCGTCTGGTTAGGGGAGGAGTGAGCCGAAAAGTCAGGAGGAGAGTTATCGATCTTAGGATCCGGTCACGTTTCCCTTCTCCAGACGAGAAAATCCAGCAGAAAACACAACCCTCTCTACATACACACACCGCACATTATTTTTAAATCATCTCTTCCTCTCATTCCCCCTCGATGCGTGTACAAATAATTAAAGAAGAGTCGCGTGTCTGCAAGCTGCAGCAACGCTTTCACGCTTTCTTCCAACAATTATTGTAGATAGAGAGAAAAAAATAGAAATTAAACAAGAATCAACTAACCATATCGTTTTGCTCTTTGTTTCAAATAAATAAATCCAACACGCGATTCGTTGTAATGGAAACGAGATGAGTATAAAAGAATTGCGAACGATCACTCACTGCGAAACTTGTTACAAAATGAGGTTTCCATATCGCTCTTATCAAAAAAAAAACTGAGAATTGCACAACTCGATCACTTTATTTATTTACATTTGGCTTTCCCCCTCATCATCATCCTTCTATCTCCTAGGCCTGTCTTGATAAGAGGTCTCAAGATCATATAAATATTTTTTTTTAAATGTAATTATCCTTGCTTATTTTTCTTTTTGGCAACCGGACCAGACGTTTGCGAGTCGCTGCCAAACGCGGGTGGCCGTATCTAAATCATAGACAAATAACTATTGCATAAACTATATACCTTGGCAATGAAACAAAAGCTGCCATTCGCTTTCAAGAGCGCCATGAGAAACAAGAGATGAAGTTTACACAGTTAACTTGACCTGAAGTGTAGAATAAATTGGCAATCATCGTGTGAGAGAATAAGAAAATCAGCGAACTTTTGCAATTATTAAATAAGTTACGAAACGAAATATTGAGTCAGAATCTAGGGAATTTATGGTATTATGAAACAAATGTCATTCAATTCCAGAAAACTAATAAATCTAGATTAATCTAATTATAAAACTCGATATGAATAAGCATGTTAATAACAAATTGATTGAAATGTTTTGGAAACTCTGCTATAAAATATAAATCAATACGTTTTGTACGAACAGTAGAATGTTAAGAGTAATTTCAATTAGTTTCATTTGTTTTCATCAATGAAGTATTGTAAACAATAATAATCTAGATATCGATGAGTCATTCATAGTTTTATCAAAATAGATAACTTGATCTGAAATGATAACCGTTTATAGAAATTGTATATTTACTAGCAAAATTTTAATATTGAAACATAAAAATCAATCAATTAATTTCATTACTTTCAAAACATTCTCTGCCTAATTGGAACTTACTTTATGGATATTTACTTTAATGACTTATAGCTTATATAGGTAAAAATGTAATAAATTAATATCAGCTATATACAATAAATTAATCTACGTTCTCTATATAAAAAAAAAATGATGGCATTATCTCAAAGACATTAATAAATTACTTTGGCATCCTCTCCTGAGCTTCTGCGTCGTAAAAGAAACGCTTCATCATTGCCAAAGCCCTTCTACGACTTCTTCATCTTCTCAACAACAACAACATCACTCGCATTTTCTCTATTCTTTTCCCGAGGCTTTAAAGTTTACGACCGACGAGGTTATCTGTCGCCGCAAATCATCCACTACTGCTCCAAGAAGAATCTTCTACTAACCCAGATTTCTTCGCATTCGTTATTTACAATTTCAAACGTGTTAAATGAGCAGAGTTTTAAATCCTGATGACTGCGCACTATACAGGACACAACATTTGTTTTATTAAGCACCGGTCAAGGCTACGTTTCTATTATTGGATTAAAAGATTGCTCTGCTTATTATCGATTCTTATTACCCAGGTAACAATACATAAATCACTATGGTTACTATGAAGATGCATGTAGCTTTTGTTTCCATTTTTTATACATCAGAGTTACCTGCACGAGCGTAATTACAGTTTCTCTTTTCAGCGAAAGAAAAAAAAACGTAAAATGTTGGTTGATTTCGTGATGGCGAAAATCAGGCGAAAATACAATGGAACAGCGAAAACAATCAACGTTGAGATCAAAAACGCGAGGAGAAAGAGTGAAAATGTTGGATGAAGCGGCGGAGAAATACTAATGAGGTATGTCTGCTTTTCACTCGTAATGATTAAAGAAA